GCACCCAATCAACTGTAATATCGCCGGATTGAACACGTTCTCGGATTGATATCTTTCATCTGAATCCTCCCATCGGGATAGGATGACAATATCATCCACATAGAAGAAGACAATTAATCGATCATTTGAGAAGAGGCAGCAATCCTCTGGCATAGAGGTGAAGCATAGCGTTCTCGGATTCTTCGCGATGTGGGTGTTTTTCAACATCTGCCCAGTGGTTCGGTGGATCTGGCAGTTGAGATCTATGGATTCTTGAAGTCGGTATGGATGCTGTTGAGGTAGATGTATTGTTGATAACAGTAAAAACAGTATTAGAAAATAAATTTTGAGACTTGTAGAAGTCTGGGTGAGAATGAGAATGAGAGAATGCTTCATTGATCATTTGAAAAGGATTGGCTTTGGCATTTGCAACTGCCACAAGGTGGGCAGCTCTGTGATTTCGGGTTCTGCGGCCTTCAATGATATTATCTTCATCAAAGTTAGCACTGATATTGTGAGCTCTAGGTGCAATGTTCCGTGTACGATCATCTATTGCAGCTGGTTGAGTATTAATATCAATATTGGGACCTGTATCAACATTCGGACCTGTATCAACATTAGGACCTGTATCAACATTAGGACCTGTATCAACATTAGGGCCCGCTGGCCCTGGCGTAGGTTCAGGTGTTGGATTCGGTGTATGAGATCTAACATGGGGACGTCTAGATATTTGATTTTCCGCATTAGATAGATGGCAGGGTTTGCAAAGCTCGGTGGTAAGCTCGTCCGCAGCATCTTCTTGATGGGTGATTTGAACGCCAGTTGCATCATTTGCAAGATTTTGAATGGCGATTTTCGATGGATGTCCTAATCTCTTATGCCACGTAGACTGTGTAGCTATAGAGATCTTAGGTTTTTGAGAAGGTTTTGTAGAAGTGCGTTTTTGCAGGTTGGAAGAAGGATTTGTAGAAGTTGAAGAATTTGAAGATATCGTTTTTTCAGATATAGTGATGTTAGATGTGTGTGGTGTGGTAGCTGCATCGGCTTCGGTAGTGGATTTTTCCGAGATAGTTGAGAAAACAGTTATATCACTATATTCTGTAACTAACAACCCCCCAAATACTTCAACGCGTGCAAAGATTGTATTATCTGCGCGTTTTCGCAATCTGAAGTCTTTTCCATCATAATAGATGCCTCCTATATGGAAACACGGTTTCCATGCGATGATATTTGTATGGAAATTCGGGATGTAAGCCGCGTTGGTGAGTTTGACATTGAACTGCTTTCCTGCTTCATTTATCATGATAGTTCTAACAGTTCCATAACCTTCAACTTTAGTGCTGGAATCGCCTGTATAGACTTCCGCATTCTCGTTCGCAGGTTTAAAGGATAGGAAACGTGTTCGATTATTGCATATATGCTGTTCCGCGCCAGTATCAAAGATCCAGGAGTTTCGAAGGTAGAAGTGAGAATGTGAAGAGTTCATTGATATTTTTCGGATTTGCTGATCGATAGATTGATGATTGATAGATTGAGGAACTGATTGCTTCAGAACCATTCCTCCTATGACTGCTTCATTGGCATCTACCATATCTGTATTCGTGGATGAATCTCTAGATATCGCACGATCAACGCGTCTCTTCAATCCTTGATTTTTAAGAGCTTGATTGATCTGAGTTCTCTTCTCCCCATTTTCCTTCCATCCAGGTGGCTTTCTTGATGGATTGAGATAGTAGCACTGGGCGTATCGGTGACGGGCTCCGCAGATGCAGTTTCTGAATGTCGCTGGTGATGATTGCTGAGGTCTTTCATTAAGAGTAGCGAAGTTCATAGGTTTATCTCCTTTGAGAATACTCATTTCCCTATACCGTTCCTTGAAGTCCTTAACTAACTCTATCAAAGATATGACATCTTTATCATGTCGGACATCCTTTGCCCATGCTTGTGCATATCCTGCATCAATAGCTAGGTTTGCATTTAAGAAGTCTTTTTTCAAGTTGAACTGTCCAGCTATATCCGCCTCTTTGATATCATCTTTGATGAGTGATCAGTCATTTAACCACTTCTCTATACCTCTGTTTTTCAGTGCTTTGCAGAGATCATGGTATCGGGTTCTCACATCATCTTGATAGTCCGCGGTCATGGGTGAGAGATGATCTCTTAATGAATGAATAATCTCCTTCACATCATCATCCTCACTGCGTACATGTCGTAGCTCTGTGGCATCCACTGTTCTCCATATGACATCTTGTATCTTTGTCATACCTTCATTCATTTTTTCATATTTCATATATTTGATTTTCCACGCAGTGACCTTGATGTCATATGCTATCTTGGCCTCCGCGGTGGCTTCTTCTGGACACTCAGGTTCCAGAGGTTCTTCTAGTTCAGAGAAGATATCAGGTTTATCAAGATTGATGAAGTCTGATACCTTCTTGTCCTTTGCATATCCTAGCATATGCTTGTACCAAAGTTTCCAATCTCCAGGAATGCTAAGGTGTACTGTCGCACTAGACATTGTCTTGTCTGTCATATCAGTTATATTGAATGGATTGAGGAATCGGTTCAAGTATTTGAGAATAGATATGATCAGAATTCAGAGTGTATATCAGTCAAGTATTTCAGAATGTATACGAGTGAGGATCTATCGTCTCAGTTCGAATGATAGTTATCAGTTCAAATGAGGACGGGAATCTGGTATGATATAATGATTGAGTTGATCAGACTGTATACAAATGAGGATCAATCATCTCAGTTCAAATGATTGTTGTCAAATTTGAATGAGGATTGGGATCAGTGTATCATGCTTCTCTTCAGATGCTGCTTACCAGGAATCAGGTATGGTATAATGGTTGAGTAGATCAGACTGTATATGAATGAGAATCAATCGTCTCAGTTCAAATGATTGTTGTCAAATTTGAATGAGGATTGAAATTGATGGTGTATCACGCTTCTCTTCAGATGCTGCTTACCGGGCTCATAACTGTCGGATTGAGTGTCACGGATGAATATGTTGAAGACATATGAATCTTATCTGTATCAAGATCTGCTTGTTATATTATCTGTACACTATCTAATATATCTATTTCATACAAAAGATGGAGCTATTTATAGTAAAATATATGTGCGAGCCAAGAGAGCTAGTATAAGCGAGTATTAGATGAGCATTGTAGTAAGCTGATGATGATGAGAAATATTGTAGTAATACGATGTTGGTGGCGTTCAGTAGTGTATAACCTCTTTTTCCTGACAAAGCATTACTTCTGGTCATGATTTGTGTTTATCACATTGATCTCAAATCATGTTATTTCAAATATTAAAGGTCTCAGATTCACTTTTCAAATAAAAATCTAGTCTCAGATAAAGAATATGTTTGAATTCTTAGTCACATTTTCATTCTGATTTCATTATTGAGAATGGTATTAAATGAGATTATGAAATCACTTCTCACTTACATAATATCATAATATAGTACTCATTTGTTGAAAATTCAATAGAGAGTATTATCAAATATTATTACTTTTCTGAACACAGATCATAATTTATATAATTTTAATTATAAAAAAAATATAAAATACAAAAAAAAAATAAAAAACAAAAAACAAAACAAAAACAAGAAAAAAAAAAAAAAAAAGAGAAAGAAAAAAAAAATAAAAGAAAAGAAAAAAAAAAAAATAAAAAATAAAAAAAAAAAAAAAAAAATCAAGATCACAGAGCTGCAGTATTCTCAAAATACTCACTTCTTAAAGTCTTTACAATGTTCATTATCAATCATGTATCTCTCACAGTGAGAGTAACACAGTCATAATGAGTCATTGTCTTAATATTATCTAACAAATAATCAGTATATATCTGTATAAATGTGAATATTTAGAAAACATACACTTAAAAAGTGTGGCCAGGGTGAACTCTGCTGTCACTTGAATAATATCAAGAACAGAATGCTGAAATCAATGATTTCTTTCATTAATTTCACAGACAAGACAGATGAAGATGATCTTGAGAAATATAAGATTTTCTGACTTCTGATAAAAACAGATCTCACAGAGAGACTCTATTTTCATGATATCAGAGACTGAGTATTATTAAAAAGCATTACTTTCATGCAATACACATACACTTACTGTAATAATTCATTCTCTATGTATATAACTGAGAGTTGCGGCTTTCTCACATCACACAGCTCTTTCTGGGATGCTGGCATCAGTTTGCAACTCATATAGTCTTTCAGTTCAGTACACACTGTGTGTATGCAGCTCTGTGTACTGAGACCATGTTGATTATTATGGCCTGGCGTGGTACTTGCTTTTCGCGGGCCATGTTTCATTTGAGAGGGAGAAGAAGATGCAACTGTGGTTTTATTAAAGAAGAATAAATAATTAGTAATATTGAATATAATTTAATTCTTCTGCATTTAAAATTTGATTAGTCTATACTCTTTAATTTGAGAGTTTTTAAGAGTATTTTAATAGTTTTCATACTGGCTTGAACTTAGTGATGAATTGAAGAAGAAGAGAAAAGAGAGAAGAAAGAAATGAGAATAACTTATCTTTATAATATGAAAATAGAGAATTGCTGTAATTATTCTTTCTAGTAACAAAGATCTGTTTTCTGCATGTATCTCTGATATAGATTATATAATAACTGCATACAAAGAATATCAACACTGCATGTATTGAATGAAGATGATGTTGCTATGCAACACTGTAGCTGTTTTCATATATCTCTGAAAGCTGTTAATATTTTCTTTATCTCTTTATATTTGATAAGTCAGTAATATATTTCAATGCACTCTCTCTTTCATCATCATCATCATCATTATCATCATTATTATCATTATCATCATTATTATTAACATCATCACTATTATTATTATTATTATCATTATTATCATTATCATTATTATTATTATTATCATATCATTTCTGGCCATCTCTTCTGCCTTCACCTGTTTTCAACACTTATTAAAATTAATTATGTCATCTCTCTTTAAATATTCTGCAGTTCTGCGAATCATCAAGATGCATGAGCATCATCACAGATTAGAGAAAGAGAAGAAGAAGGTATTTAAGCAAGAGAAGACAGATTATAAGACATATTATAATGCCTTGAAGAGGCTCTGTAAGAGAGTAGAATAATAACAATTTTAAGTAACACTTCTGATAGATTTAGACTGAACTAAGTATAGAAATAATGCAGATGATGCTGTCTGTGAGAGATTGAAGAAGAAGACAGTGAAGAGTCTCATGCAGCAGCAGTGAGACCAGAAGAAGTCTTAAGAATGATTTGAGTTTAAGATGAAGAGAGAGAGAGAGAAGAAAAGTGTTACTGTAAATAAGCAGTGACAGAAGAAGATTAAGAGAATGTTAAAGTAGAAGATAAAGAAGTCAAAACTGATAAGTTTTTTACTTATTAAGAGATAATAATTTTTAATAACACTTCTATTCTCTAATTGATTAGCAGGAGCTGATAGAGAAGAAGAGAATTGAGGCCTTATTCAGGTTTCAAATGCACTTCATGATTCAGAACATTGAGAAGACAGCCCTGCTCTCTGAGTATGTCAATCTGCTTATCACTGAGGTGGAACCTGAGGCAGCAGACCAGGAAATGCGGGATTTTGAGACACAGATTGACCTGGCTGAGAGAGAGCAGCAGGAACTCTTCTCTGAGAAGGCAGCAGAGAGAGATTTTGAGATAATTATCATCTCAGATGAGAAGGAGAAGAAGAAGAAGAAGAATGAGAAGTGAATTATGAAGAATGATAAGAAGAATGAGAAAGAGAAGAAGTAGATTTTTTTCTTTTTATATTAGTTAGTTGTAAGTTTAAGTTTTTAATTATTAATAATTAAAATTGATTTTAAGTTTTTAAAAATTATTGTACAAGTTGTAATCAAGTCAGGAATGATATATATATATATATATTTTAACTATCATGATTCACAAATCACTATAATGTATAAGTATCAACATTTTTTCAACATTAATATTCACAATATTAATATATTTTTAATGATATCATCTGATAATACAATTTGATAACACTCTCTTTTACAATATTAATATATTTCAAGAAATATGATAGAGATTAATCAAGATTATTTATTTACTTTTATATATCAATGATATTCAATCTGAGTTAGTACTAAAATTATAACTAAGCTAAGAAACAAGATTATTTTCTCTTATATTAATTCTTCTTACACACATCAGTGATCAGTTATTGAAAATAAATTATTATCTTTCTCAAATTATTATCATGTCTTCTGAATCTACTTCTTTCACTTCTTTTACTTCTACTGAAGATTCACAAACTCTTCAAGAAATCACTGTAAATCACAAAGTCTATGTTGTTTACAATTCAACACAGAATGCTCTCTTTCAATTATAATGAATAATCACTTCATTCTTCACATCTGATTCCAGGCCATGAAATTTATGAAAAACTCAACACAAATATCAAGATGAACTATGGAATAATTATCAACAGATTGCATTGCAGATTACTGAAGAGTCATCTCTCTACTACAATCACTGCAACTTCATTTAGAAACATTCATCATAAACTGATCATAACTCTGAAGAAATTTCCTGACATCTGAAGTCATCAGAATGCAGACAATAAAAGAAAAATAATCAGAAAATTACTACTGAGCTGATAAGTTACTCTATCAGATAATAATTTTTGATAACACTAACTTTCTAATTTGAAGAAAATCATGTAAAAATAATCATATATCAGTACTCTGATTTCACAACTCTTATCTGATAACTTCTGTGAACAATTACTTCATATGTGTATATCTCTGAATCTTTCTCTTCAATCAATTGAAAACCTCAAATTCCGAACACTTCTTCAAATACTTAATTCAAATCTTCATATTTCACATCAATTCTGTCTTCAGTTCAACCTTGAGACACACTACAAAGTCAATATACAACATCTAGAATCAGAGTTGAAGAATCATCAAAGAGTATCTCTCACCATGAATGCATGAACTAGTACAAACAATCTTACATTTATAAAAGTTACATGTTATTACATTGATAAGAACTGGACTTATCAAGAGACATTAATTGAATTTGAATCATTGATCAGTAGTCATACTGAGGATTATATAACAGAGGTATTAATAACTGTGATTAAAAATAACTATTGAGATATTAGTCTCAGTCTTCTTATAATTACAACTGATAATGCTGTGAATAACTATACTATGATGAAGAGCTTGAAGCAAAAATTAGCTTTGCATTTCTGAAATGATAAATAAGGTCATATTCTCTGCATTGCTTATGTGGTTCAACTTGTGATACAAACACTGATAAAGAATCTTAATATCAAGACAAAGAATAATGAGATGACTGATTCTTGAGATGAGAATGAGATGAAAGTGATTACTTAAGTAACTTTTACATTCACTTTACAAAAGATAATGTTTTTTGATAACACTTTTTAATATTGCTTTTTAATAACACTTTTTGATAATACTACTGTTAATTTTGAATAGATTAACTAATAATTTAAATATCATAGATTCAAAACATTGCTAATGTGATTTGTATCTCTTCTAAATAATAATAACAATTTCATGATATTCAACAAATAAACAAATCAGTCACATCACTGAATATAATACAGAATGTTAAAACACAGTGAAGTTCAATATATGAGATGACTGTTCAGACTCTTCAATTATGTCAGATGATTGATCATTGAGTGTAACACTCTAATCAGAAAAAGATTCAGATATTGAAACTTTCTGATATGAAGTGAACTCAGTTGAAATATGTAATTGATTTACTGTTTCAGTTTTATAAGATAATAAAGACAGTCTCAATCACTCATACATCAATGCTGCAGTCAGCCTGATGAGTGTATAACAGTTTATTTACTTATCTTGAGAAGCAGTTGAATCACTTAAAAAGAAATTCAGTCTGAGATGATGCTATAGCACAGACTATTATTACTGTAAGAAATAAACTAGCATATTACTACAGCAAAACTGAACAATCTTTTGCAGAGTACTATGCTGTAGCAGCTTTACTAGATTTCTCTCATTGAGTTAACATCTACACTTCTCAAGATTGAACAGAGAAGAAATGAGACTTATATGTTAAATTAGCCTGAGACTACTACAATGTCAACTATCAGAGATTTGAATGAGCAGATATTTGAGATGTGAAGACAGTGAAATACAATTCCCTAGTAAGTAACAATCTTTGATAACACTTCATATCTCATAGAACTATAATACTAACTTTGAAACAGAACTTACATACATTGATTACAACTGAAAATCAGGCAAAACTACATACTTGTAAAACTGAATTTGACCATTATCTTCAAGATGATTTAACAAATTTACATGTCAAATCAATTCTAGAGTTATGAAAAATTGTTGAGAGTACATATTCAACTGTTACACTGATGATATGTGATATTCTGATAATTTCATTGACAGGGGTGAGAATAAAGTGAAAGTTCAACTCAAGTTAAGATATTTATCACTATCATCAAGAACAATTATAAGAAGAAACAATCAAGAAACTCATGATTGTAAAATATGAAATTATCAGACAGTTTAATACCTCTGATCACAGTATATCAGAGAAGTGTAGTTTTCATGAGAAAGTGAAGAATAAACTTGTACAAGAATGTATTTAATTGTTTCATGAGCATTATTAATAATCATTATCAAATTCTGATTATATAAGCAATCACTGAATGAACTGAATGAGACTGATTTTAATCTTCAGTCTCAGTCTCATTCTGATTTTGAAAGAATGATCATCTTTCACAGTTTATTCTGAGAAATTACTCTCATTTCACTGTTCTTGAATTAAATCTGGTCATTTTTCACACCATTTCTCTCAGAAATGGTCCATTTTCAGATTTTTTTGAGGCTTGGTCCTGGTGGGACTCACGCCAAGAAATGTATGAGACCAGACCAAATGGGACCAAATGTGAAATTCATGGTCCCGCCGGCCAGTCTACTGGCAATGACTCTCTGTTTTCACAACAAGAATCATCATAGTGCTCATACTGAGCAGTTTGTTAGCAGTAAGTGTAATGTGTTATGAAATGTATATGATCAGAACTTGTTTATCTTCTAATAATTGTCAGAATATACTATCATGAATAACATATCTTCTTCATCTTCTTGTACACTTCTGACTGTTTTCTTCAGCAGGTTTCTGATTGTGTTTTCTGACACAATTTTGTATAAATGCAGATGCTGATATGTTTATTTTTATTTATATAGAATCTTCATGCATTGACAGATCTGTATCTGTCAATGATAGTGAACTCAATATGAAATCATTGATCAAGAACTGTAAGAATAAGTGCTCGCAGGCGATTATTCGGGTGTTTGCAGCTTGGCATGATATGTACTGTTAACTACTAGAAGTATTCGCAGTAGAAAGATAAAATGTAGAGGTCAAATGTATAATAGTATTCAAGCTGAGTTGTAAATAGTATTCATGAACTTCAGTCTATATAGTTGTATGTAGTCAAGGGCTGCTAGCCCTATTGATTATGCAAGAGATAGAAATAGAGATAAACAATTCATGAGAAGCAGAATTTCTTACATATCTCTCTCTCTCTAAGGCTTTGTCTGTGAAGCCTTTCACTGAGTGACTTCATAGAATCAGCTCAGCACTGCAGTAATACTCACTAAAAATCCTTCACATCTATAAAAAATCTCAGTGAGGAAAAATTCCTTATTACTGTGAAGAGAAAAGAGTCTATCACTCAGTTTCTTATTTCACAAGGTTCTTTGTAATCTACAGATTCTTCTCTGACTATCACACAGATTCATCTCACATCTTTCATACAGAACAGTTTCAGTTGACTCTCAACTATTTTCACAAGGTTCTTGTATAATTATCACACAGATTCATCTCACATCTTTCATACAGAAGAGTTTCAGTTGACTCTCAATCATTTTCATAAGATTCTTATGTGATTATCACACAGATTCATCTCACAGATGAATCACTCTCTGTAAAATCACTCTCAACAAAGAGAAGTATTCGTGAGTTGATCTTTTACTCATTCTCATAAATCATTATTCTTTGACACTGTAGAATTATGAGAAATTTTCCATTCTTTCACTAACTCTGTAGCATTGTAGAATCAAGATATCTGCAGTCTACAATCACTCTTTATAGTCATATAGAAAGATTCAGGCCTGCAATTCACAATCACTCTTATTTACTAGAGTGATCTGACTGTTTCACAGAATCACTCACAGTGTAAGCAAACCTCTCTAGAGTAGTATAAATATTTCAGATCTGTCTGTGAAATCTCATCTTCTTTTCTCTTTTTCTGTAACAGCTTTCATTCTTATAAACTGTGAGTATTCTCATTCATTCATGAAGTGTTTTTACTCAGATGACAGAGAGAGTGTGTTTCTGATAATATTCATATATTAATTCAAGAACTTCTCAAGAATAAAAAGTTTTTTTTCAAATTTCAATATCTTTGCAAATAATGTCTGACTACTGCTAAGCTTCTTATAAGTGTCTCTGTGACTTCTCTGATCACTTTTTACTGACTGATGAAGCAGAGACACTATCACTCATGACTACATCTTTACTTCTCTCAGCCCTGTCATCACACTTGATTTTCAGGCCAGCAGCTCATCTCATATCTTTCTCAGATCAGTCTCTGGCTTTAAGCAGTATAGTTTCTCTCTTTGCTGTAAGTCTTCTCATAAGTAATTTCTTACAGATTCTAGCTGACAGTT